GCCACTAGCGGATTTGGAGGGAGGCTTAACCCATTCATAAACATAGCAGTTTCTCTGAAACTGCTATGTTTATAAAAAAAATGGGTTAATCCTAGAGGGACCTGGCACCCAGACCACTTCATTAAGCTGAAGTGGTCTGGGTGCCTAGAGTGGTCCTTTAATTCACTACAATGTGGGTTTTAGTTATTATTTTTATTATTATTATTATTATTATTTTATTATTTATACAGTTTATTTACTACAGAATAGGTTATTCTGCTGAGATAATAATAATAATTATTATTATTATTTTATTATTGATAAAAATATTTTACCAGGAAGGATATATTGATATTTCTCTTGTTTTCAAGTATGTCCTGGGTCACAAAACATTGCATTGATACATTAGGGTACAATAAAATACAAAAACCATATTAATACACAATATATACAAAATGTAACATAGAACAGGTAGGAAATATATAATCAACCAAAACACATGAATTCTGTTTTGAGGTATGTAGAGAGGGATCTCTTAAAAGACTTTAGGCTTAGGGAAGATTTTAAATTGTGCGGGAGGTCGTTCCATAATTGTGGTGCTCTGTAGGAAAAGGAGGATCGGGCCGCTTTCTTTTTGTATTGAGGTAGACTAAATAAAGTTAATTGCGGTGAACTGAAAAATCTCGTCTAGTTCATTTAAAATGCATAAAGCAAAGTTAGTCTAAATCTACTTGAAGGAGAAGGGTTTAAATAATTAGTTGGTTGTCGGTTGATAAATCATCGCTGATTAACTAACCTACCTACTTACACCCAGTCAGGACACCTCTCAGAACACTGGTGAAAAATATATCAAAATAATATTGATACATGTGCATTCATTTATCCAGTTTCCCTGTTAGGGGTGGATGGAAAGGATACATGTAATGTTTATTATACATTACACCTTTTTTCTCTCCCACATGAATATCACGTTTATTAGGACACACCCAGCAACAATAACAACTGTAGTGGCCATGGTGCCAGGGGGGTTGTAATGAGTCTGCCCATTTTAAAATGGTTTGATTTCTTACCCGGGATCTGTTATGCACCACTCCTGAAGCTTAACAAAGGGTTCCCACTCTTTGGTATGCATCAGTAGTGGTGGACAAGGGGTGAAGGGCAGGGGCAGTCCACCAAGGTTTAGCGGTGGGTGCACAGAGCAGACCCATTCCACAGTCAGTGTTTTTATGAATGTGTGTGTATTTGAGTCTGTGCACTTTAAGGTGTTATAGGATTGGGTGAAATCCTTTCTTTCCAGTTTTACAGCTCATATATTTATTGTTCTTATTCCCTCTTAAATACTCTGTTGTTTCCTTCTGTTAACTTCAGAATATTATACTGGGAAAAGAATGTGTGTTTGTGTATTAATCTGAGTGTAGATGTGTCCTTGTGTGTGTATCCGCATGAGTCTGAATGTATGTAAACCAATGTGTGTGTCTATGTATGTTTCTGTGTGTATAACCATAACCACAACAACAATATGCAGTGATTATGGTGCTTGGAGTGTTCCTTTAAGGATACATCTGATCCCTATGATTAGAATGTCCCCAGCACACCATCTTGCAGATCACTGGCCCCTGTATCATGATGGAGTTAACCCTTTCACTGCCACTCCCCCTGGCACTGTAATGGTTAATGAAGCAGTGCAGCTGTGCTCACTCGGAGACTCCCACCTCCCAGCCTGGATCTTGTAGGTGGGCTTCAGACAAGGCCAACATTGCAGCTGAGTGAAAGTTGTCACAAGGCCCCCTGGGGTGGAGGACCCCCCTCTATTCTTCACTGGTGGGTGCGAGATTTCCCAAATCGTTATCACAGAGAGAAATTCTGCAGCTTTTTAAGTGGAATACATTAGAAAAGCACACACAGCTAATGGGAAACAAAGTGATACATTAACGTCCTCATTAATAACACTGTAACACAGTGTATGGGAACCAGGACACGTCCTCCCTGCTAATTCCACAATTATCAGATTCTAGACACCTTATCAGCCATTATAGCGGCTAATGTTTTATGGTGGGGACCCTGAGCCCCCAAGCTTATACAGGCACAAATACCAGCTCAATGCTGCTGGGCTGTTCATGAAAACTGCTGCCCTGCAATATGCAAACCAAGTGAGTTCCCTAAATACTCAATAAATTATACATGCTGCAGGGCAGCACTTTTCCTGTAATTTTCATCAACATGCAGAAGGGTCCAGGAACACATTGTTGATCTGTAAATCCTACCTAGGAATGAGGAGGGTGTGAATAGTATTTAAATCTCTTTGTATTGTGGAGATTGTACCGTTATTCAGTTCTTTAGCTCTGTGGATGCTTTAGATAATGTGACAACACTGCCCCTTTAAATGGAGATGTTTATAAAGGGCATTTAAGAACTTCCTACAGGCTTTCCTAATAAAATGTGAGGTTTAGTTACCCCTACCCACTGCATAGCCATGAGCAAGGCACTGCTTGTATGCTGTGACAATGTCCCATTGATGAGTTCAGGTTATCCAGTTTAGCTCAGCTGGGTCGTTATGATGTAACATATTGTCATGAAGGGGTTAAGACACCTCAAACGCTCATCAAATGCTCCCATAAGACTAAACACGCGAATTGAATGGGATTTTATTGTCCACACACAGAGCTGTACAATATACATTTTCCAGATTGGGGAAAAAAGTTCTAAAATTCTAACCAAATACATTTCTAGGATTTGTTATGGCTCTCCCATGTCTGGTACTCAGGGGGTTAATATCCCAATATTGCACAGTGTACACGCAGACTGATAAGGCTGCACACTGTTCTCACATAGATTATTCAAAGCAATGTATATATTATATATAACATATTATACATTTAATATATATACATTGCTTTGAATAATCAAATGTGTATACCAGTCTGCGTGTATATATATATATATATAAGACCAAGAGGCCTGCACTCACCTGAACATGCTCTGCTGGGTCCAATTAACACTACATACAAGATATATAGAAATATATAATATTAACATATGCTAGAGTTTAGACATTTTTTGTCTGAGTTCTATAAATTTATGTATAATAATAGATTTGCCATTTGAGTTGAGTTTTGTTAAATCTACAGATGCCCATCATACAGCCAGGTGTTAAATAGCTCCAATTTGATGGCTGATCTGTCATTAAATCATCATTAGCATTATTAGTTAGCTTTACGATGTGTCAGGTAAGATTCACATAGCTCTCTGTGTATGGGCTGATACTGAGAGGATATTTCACACCAGGCATTAACGTGTTAATCATCCTGCCTAGGATACAAAGAATCCGAATTTAGATACAATAGAATGACCCAACAGAGTGTGGCCAATGCACAATAATGATACAACGAACTAACAATAACTAGACTTGGGATATCTCCTGCTAGAAGAACTGATTTTAAATCATTTCCAGCCTGTCAGTATTAGTCACTGTGTTATGGAAGGTTATCATTTTCTAAATTAAATTAATTACTAAAAAGCAAACACTATGCTAACTAAATATGGGTTTTAGATTGCTTACAACACACTCGAATATCATTTCCATATTTTTGATATATGTCTCTCAAAATGAAAAATGGGATGGACTTCCTTAAAAAATATTAGAGCCTAAAAATGAGAACGTTCCTGTGTCAAAAATGTATTCAACAAGTTACAAATTCATTTATAGACGTTTCGGCCATATTGATAAAACCCCTAGAGGCCGAAACGTCTATAATTGATTTTGTTATCACTTGTTGAATATACATTTTTTAACGCAAGACCCATTTCATTCGCTCACTTTGCACATTCTCACAGCTGGGATCAAAAAATCCACAAGACTTACAAATGATTGTACAGCTATATACAAAATACATTTCATAGAATATATAAATCTAATTTATACAATTTTATGTATTGTATATAAGTATCTATGAAACTACAATTAAACAGCAAGTTAATCTTGCACTGTAATTTTTTTATGTTGATAAAGAGCTGAGTTATAAAAGATGTGTATTTTTATAAATTTGCAATATTTTGCTAAAATCACCCATAATCTAACAACAATGTGATGTAATAAAATACCCACTGCTTATAAAAATGTACTGTCCTTTAAGATATTTTTTTTGCCAATTTAATTCCTGATTTATTTATTTTTTCCAAATGCTGCATCAGAAACGGGTAAGGATTTGATTAATTAGATCAATTGCACTAAACTCAACTAATTTGTTGTAACCCAATCAAGAGGATTTTAATCCCCAGATTATCCTAAAGATAGTTTCTTTAATCAGTTTATTGTTATTATAAAGTGGACTTTGTTAAAGTTGTAAGGGATATGGAGCTTCTCAACAAACACTTTGTTTTATTACAAAAATGATTCAGAAAAAGTTAAAAATCTTACTCACAGCTGTAATCAACTAATACTAATGTATTCTAGAGTAAACGAAATTGAAATAAATGAAATCGTTAAATGCAAGGATGCAGAAAGTCAATTATTTTCTAAACAAAAAAGACATATTTAGGTTCTAAAAAACATGTCCCTTTATTTCCTATCTATTCCCATGGGGTATTTTTGGTTGACCTTGTATTTTAATTCAGCTACTTTCCTTAAAGAAAGGCAATGCTCCTAGCTTTGGGGGAGATGGGTTGTCCCAGTTCTTGGATTACAGACAGGCTCCTTCTCCTGGGATGTCCCTCTAGAGGTGACCCAGCCTTTACTTCTAACCCCCCTTCTCAGCCCCCTGCAGCTGAACTTTTATTTGTTGATGACAAGAATGTGTGAACACATTTAGTCTCATCCTTTCCAAAGGTTTGGGTATTTGCATACTAATGTCCAATTAGCATGTCACAAGCACTGAAGGGTATATTAACCAACACACCTCTGGATACATTCATTGCCTCCCTCCAGTCTCCTCAGAGCAGAACTCCTCAAATAAGTCATTGAAGAACCTTTGGATTCTCAACTCCAAACTATTTTCCATCAGGGATTCCTTCTGGCTGAGACCATGGTTCACACATCGATGTACCCAGGCTTCATGCCCTCAGTGCCTGTGCCAGCAGCTTGTCCTGTCGCTCCAAATGGACATCATCAACCCAAGCTACCCTTCAGCATTGACTCCTTGCTCAACAGGAACGACAAGTCAGCTCCCAGGTTATCTCTGGAGATGCCCAGCTGGCAAACCTCTAGTGTGCCCCTCTACAGCCAGCCTTTCCTTCCTTGTACACCCTCTGTGCCCCTTGGCTGTTCCTTTGACATGATGTCTCGCCATCAGCCCATGTTGATCTATGCTCCTAAGGCTCGCTACCCTTCCATTACTCCACAGCACCAACCAATGAGCCTCCTGGAGCCACCATGTCCATGTGCCAGTCCCTACTGCCAGGGAAAAGGTGAGTCCACAAACTGTTATAAGGCAACTCCACAAGTCAATATATTGCAACTAAACTGATTGATTTATAAAAGCAATGGATCAGGTCATATTTACCAAACAAACTGCATGTTGTGTTTTGACTTCCTTAATGTTTAATTTATTTTTTGCAGCAATCATGGGGACTCTAATTTACTTTTTACTTTTTAGTTAAATTGTTAAAGCACAATCGGTTTTCTAAACTACTTTTTTTTTCCTTAATTTATTTGATTATACCTAATTTCTTACCTGCACGATTTCTATCACACACCTACGAATGCTAGTTTGATATTATTATAGGAAATAATCTAACATAATGTATTTTAATCTAAGAATTTTACGTATTTCTCTGTGGCAGTGGAAGGGTTAAGGCAGTTTCTCTCATGGAATCTGCATTGTGGAATCATGTTTACTGTATGCTCATGCTGCCATCTTGTGTCTCTTTTAGGAATGACATACTATCATTGTGGCAATAGCCCCCTGGAAACCCAAGACTCGTGGAAGAAGGCTCAGTTGAAGATGAAAAGAGTCCGCACCGTGTTTACTGCAGAACAGCTTGAAAGGCTGGAGAGGGAGTTTAATAAGCAGCAATATATGGTGGGAACAGAGAGAGTGGAACTGGCAGCTTCACTGAACCTTAATGAGGCCCAGGTAAGGATATACATGTTGTTGGTATTCTAACATGTCATCTGTTAATGTTACAGTGAAACAGAATTATCAGGGTTATTTACTAAACAGAAATTCAAATTGAATTTCAAATGTAAAACCAGAGAACTGAAAGCACGGCTGATATGACTTTAGTGAATGTTGTACAATGAAAGGTTTGATTTATATCTGTCAATTTTAATTGACTACCGAACACCCAAACAAGGCATACTCCTGTTCTCAAACTCTCTTCTAATTCAAATATTGTAATTGTGACTTACCCATTGGGTTTATAAAAACAAAACTACTAAACATTAAAATGGCAGTTCGATTAGTTACCCAAGAATCCCCCCCAGATTGTGTGTAACTGTGCTGTTATGATATGTCATACAAGTCGTGTAAGGGTGTGTAATATATAATAATTCTGCTGTATCAAAGAATCACAAGCATTTGTTTTGTACTTTTTTGCAAAACAAGACCTATGAATGCCCATGTTTCTCAAATCAAATACTGCAGAATTATGTATTGGCTATTTCGGAGTACTTGGGCATGACATAGTAAGTGTGTCTGGATTGAAGAGAGAGTGTCATTGCATCCTTGGGGCTGGGGGATATGGCGATATAAAATTATTTATTTATTTTTTCCTTGTTATCTTGATTTGACGCCATATTGGATATCTACCGTCTTTGTTATTTTGTCCTTTCTCTTTCATGTCTGATAAATAAGCAAATAAGCTCCTTGTTTTGTATTTAGAATTTTGGTTGTGTGCTCAGTGCAGTCTGTTGTTCCTGCAACTGTCAAACAGTTCTCTGCAAATACTGCAACACCAAATGTCTCCTTTAACGTCCTTAAACAAAATATTCAAGTAGAATATTAACATTTAGTTTTAATGAGACAATTTCTTAATTGGCAACTATCTGAATACTAACAGTTTCTAATTCCTTTGTCACTTTCAGGTTAAAATCTGGTTTCAGAATCGTCGAATCAAGTGGAGGAAGCAGAGCCAAGAAAAAAAGAGGTCCAAGCTGTCTCCATCTGAAAACATCCATGACGATTCAGCAAATGAAACTGCTGAGAGCTCAGTAGATGAAAGTTAAACAGAAGAAGATCCCCCAAATCATATAGAGGGAATCAGACTTTGTGGACTGTTTAACAGATTTCGAGTCTAACCACAGACTGTTGGCATCGGTGGGTAGAGAACACTCCCCTTATGTTGCCCAGATTGTTTTATAATGAGCACTTCTGACAGATGTGGACATGAAATTAGCTGCGCGAACGATGAATCCCTTCCAGGAAGTTCACGTAGGCGTCCAGTTAGGAGAGTAACGTACCTTATTTCTTCCATGAAGAAAATGCACTTTAGGAAGGGGGATCCTGGCAGGGATTTAGCTGTTACATAAAGAAGCTCAGTGTGTGTTTGTGTGTATGCGCGCGTCTATATATGTATATATAATATATTTCTTTCTGTTTTTATGTATTCACTAAATAAAGAGTTATATTGACATGACTATACATGTTTAAAATGTATGCTTCTTTTGCTAAACTGCAGATACATTCAAGGTTGGCAGTTTTAACCTAAGATTTGCAGAGCTGGCCATTCCACTAGAAGTGATGTGTTATATGAGGGAAGCGTATTTGTTCTTTATTAAAGCACTGCTTCTTGGTTAATAGCCTGTAACCTTCCAGTGGGCCTGTAACACTTCCACCGATGCTCTACCAGTGAAGACTGTTGTTCATACCCAGCTGGGATGCAATATCTCATTCTTATTTTTTTTTTATTTGGCCTCTGCAGGTTATTTTAGAATCCATCTGATTTCAGAACATAATGAGATCTAGTAAAACGTGTTTACTTTGACAGTTAAGTACCACTGGCAACAGCTAAGGAATGTGCCCAATAATCTGTAGTCACTGATACTGTTCCATTTTGAGAAATTTCATGCTAGATGTTCACTGTAGCTGTAGCTGTCTCAACATGGGAGGATACCCTGAAATCTGCTCTTTTGTGGTGGGCTCAAATGGGCATAGAGTAATAATATCAAGGGTATTTTTTTTCCCCACATTTGAGAGTAACTTTCTCTATTCAAGTTATTTCCACACTCCTTTGTAATTCACAAACTTGGAGGCCACGATGATTCGCTCATGGAGTTCTTCTTACAATTAATTTTCCTGAACCAGGTGGACCGCCAGCAACAGGCTCACTACTTCCACTGCTCCCAGCCTCTATTTTATTTACACGAAGTTAGCATTCAGTCTGAGAAGTTTTATATTTTGTATCAAGGTTTGTTCCACAGAAAATCACAACAGAACCTCTGTATATCAGGACAATATAGTGGGGTCAAAATTAATGACTGGAATATAAGGATCTCTGTCACTGACTGGGGTCTTTGCATAATTTGCAAAGACCACCAACTGGGTCTTGTCTGCTTGGTGTCCGGTGGCCATAAGTGTGGGAGAGGATAATTTAGACTTACCTGAATTTGTCACTTGTGTTCACTGCAAAACAGGACAAAACTTGATAATGGTAGCTCTGCTTTTTCATAGCTTTTTTTTTTTTTTGTCTTTTGGTATCTTTTATTGTGCCTCTGTGTGTGTGTGTGTGTGTGTATGTATATATATAAATACAGTCTTGGGAAAAAGAAAGTACACCCTCTTTGAATTCTATGGTTTTACATTTCAGGACATAACAACAATCATCTGTTCCTTAGCAGGTCTTACAATTAGGTAAATACAGCATTAGAGGAACACCACATGACATATTGCACCATGTCATGATTTATTGAACAAAAATAAAACCAAACATGGAGAAGACAAGTGTAAAAAAAAGTACATCATTTTTCACACATGGCTTCTCCATTTTGGCTTTATTTTTTTGTGTGTATATATGTGTGAAACTTATGTATTTTCTTAAATATGGACCTTTATAATTCTTAAAGTACTATGTTAAAATACATCCATTTTATAAAATTACTTATTGTCGTTCTCTTGGATTATTACACTTAATTCACTCTTTTGTGCAGTTGTATTCAAGTGTTGTCAATCAATGATGAAACGTTGCATTATACTAGGAATAAGGCAGTCATACAGGGTGGTTGTGTTTATATAATCTTTGCTCAGTGGTTCTTAACCCTATCCTGAAGTCACGCTAGTGGTCAAGGTTTTGGCCATTTTCCCTACTGAAACAGAAATGGGCAAACTCTTATATCCTTGGTCTGTTCTTGTGCTTTGGATACCCACCTGTGTGACATCTATATCTGCAACCAATCACTTATATATTCCATTCGTCTTTTCTTTTGTCTCCCCAAGCTCTCTACATTTCATCCCTATTCTAGTGCTCTTCCTTCCTTTCCTTTATTTTCCGCACCTCTTCCATATACCACCTTCAAAAGGGTTATTCACAAAGTGAGACATTATTGGAATTCAAAGAGAATTTCAAATGTAAGGCTAAAGTAGCCAAAATGAAAGCATTGCTAATTATTTTCCAGTTTGGCTGCTTTGACGTTAAACTTGAAATTCTCGTTCAATTTTCAGTTATTCTTACTTTAGCGAAGAGCCCTGCAAAGTGAGAACTGTCAAGAATTCAAAGTGTATTTCAAACTGGGATCCAAAATAGCCAAACCGAAATGGCATATAACAATACCCCATTGCTTAGTTCTCAGCAGGTGACTTAACACTCTGATAAAAATGTGTGTATTGTAATTGAAGTAAATTCCCTAACACCTGCAGTGAGATGCAGATCTAACCTCAATGGAAAACCCCCCTTAAGCACTTTCTTGCAAAAGCATTGCCTTCCAATATCAGTTAGACCTCCAGAATACTCAAGGAGTTCTGGATCAGCCAGAGTTAAAAAAAGTGTGTGAGGTGGAAACTATGCAGCAACCAACAAATTCCTAAGGCTTCCTACGACCCCAGTTGCAGATGCAATCAATGGGAAAATAAGAAAGCATAGGAAAGCATAAATTGGGTTTATTATAGAGTGAGCACATATCTAAAAATATATATATAAATAAATGAAACCAAGGATGGCTAGGACTGCACTCACCTGAACAAGCATACATTATAGGGTGCTGCTGGGGCCAATTTATAAAACACACAAAATACACAACCCAGTGCACTCGTACATTCGCTGAACAGCGGTTTAAGTCTCACAGATTGTAATAGTTTTATTAAAAACACCTAAAATAGGCAAAAATAATGGGGGTTTAGTTACAGTATATGATCATTCATTGCATAAGAAGCCACAATGTCAATGTACCCCATTCTTGGCAGGTCCTACTCTAGCAGCCTAATGCAACCAGGCAGTGTTTAAAATGAAACTCCACAGAGGAATTGATGGCTACAAACGAAGAACAGGTAAATTACACAGGGGTATACACTAAACACCAGGTTTTGTCTGTACCTGAACATGACCAGATGCCATCTGGATTTACACATCTTATATTTACTAAAGTCGAAACCTGTCACAATTCGGTCATTCTGGCTAAACGGGCACCATTCATTTTTGCACTGCCAAACCTTTATTTTTTGCCAACTTACTTTTAGCACTGGTCATAGGTAGTGATGTCGCGACCAGTGCTAAAAGTAAGTTGGCAAAAAATAAAGGTTTGGCAGTGCAAAAATGAATGGTGCCCGTTTAGGCAGCTTCAGGCAGCTTCAACATGGATGCTGTCCAGGAGGTGGAGGGAGGGTCTGCTGGAGATTGGCCGGGATGTGTCAGCTGACCGGAATTCGCAGCGAACGGTTCGAGGCGAACCGTGGCGAGCCGTTCACGGGACGTTCGCGAACGGTTTGCGACATCACTAGTCGTAGGCAGTTCAAATATTGAAAATTTCAATTACAATGAATAACACTGACAGTGTGTCATGTAAACTTAGCCGGCCTGAAACTCAGCATATTTATGTCTTGCCACAAGGATATGTCATTTTCGAATAATGGCCTCAATTTAATATTTTTGGAAAAGCTTTAAAATAATTTTATATTTTTTATAAAAAATATATTTTGATACTTTGTTTATATATAGATTAAGTTTATTTATGGATTTTTTTAGTATTTTAAAATGTTGATTTTTTTTATTAAACATGTATGAAAACATATTTAATCATTTGAAAATCTAATCTAAATATATTAAATCAAGGCCTATATAAGATGTTTTTATAACCTTCTGAATAAACTTGCTAAAGAAATATGTACTATTCATTTTCCATTTTCCTCATTTCCTATTTCCCCGACATTTTCTCCCAGTTCTCTGCTTATTATTTTGATTTTTAAATCATGTAACTGGTACAAGCTCCGACCAGAGTATTTAGAAATTAAAAGAGGCATGATATAGAGAGTATACTTGTTTGAGTAGGATCCTTGTTACCACTTAACAATGTATATCAAAATTTGTTTGATATTAACTTTCGATGTGTATTGTTTACTTAGTGCACAGTGCTTTACGGCATAGACAACCTTCAGCACTCCAGATGTTTTAGACTTCCCATGAGGCTTTGCTAGCATTATGGGTGTAAGGGCATTATGGGGGCTGTGGTCTACAACATCTGGAGTGCAAATGGTTGCCTATTCCTGCTGTAGAGTATGTGGTATTAAATAAAACAATAATAAAGTGTGCCATAAGCTGCATATTTTGACAGCGCAGTACATATATTTACCCACAAGATGGTGGCATTACTCCGTAAAAACTTTAGTTCTTAGCTTGGAATTTTCACTACTACAGATGGAGGGCTGTAACAAGAGTCCATGGTCTTTTATATATCATTAGAGGAATCCAGGGGACATCTGGATTTATTATGTAAACCTTTGAACCTAAAGATCATGTTATGAGGAAAGGATTATACAGTCAACTGTGTATTCAAATACTTTGTATTACCAATACCATCACCTTGCCACACATAGCAGCCTAGGAAGTATCTGCCATATTCTTAATGTTGACGGCCGACACATGAAAGGTGCTGCCCTGCTATATGTAGAATTTATATATTTATTGATTAATTACTTTATGTCCTTCCTGCAGCATTTGAATTCTACATATAACAGGACAATGTATTTCATATTCTGCCTAAAAATATATAGAAAAGATGTGTCCAGGAAAACATGGTAG